ACTTGGTAGCCCAGGCTGGCCTTGAACTCATAGAGATCCGCCTGGCTCTGCCTCCCAAGTGCTGGGATTAAAGGCGTGCGCCACCACCGCCCGGCATGATACTGTTTTGATTTTTTTGATGTTAAGGTGTGTTTTTTCGATGCAGTAGAATGATGGATCCTGTTTTATATCTATTTTCTTGGTCTGTTTTGTTTTATTGAAGAATTGAGACCATGAGGTAGCATTGGCCAATGATTGTTGGTTGCTGTTATTTTATTGTTGTATGCTTCCCTTCTTTCAATTTGCTTGCATAGGATCATTTGTTTGTGTTTTCTTGGATATAGTTAATATCTTCATATTGGAAATTTCCTTCTAGCACCTTCTGTAAGGCTGTATTTGTAGATAGACATTGTTTAAATTTGATTTTTATCATGGAATGACTTATTTTTTCCATCTATGGTGACTACTATACTGCACAGAGTAGTTTGGGGAGACATTTTTGGTCTCTTAGAGTCTGCAGCACATCCATCCCTGCCTTTTTTGCATCTAGAGTCTTCATTGAGAAATCAAGTTTAATTCTAATATGCTACTTTGTCTTTTTCCCTTACAGCTCGTAATATTTTCTTTGTTCTATATGTTGAGTGCTTTGATTATTATATATCAGGGAGAATTCCTTTTCTGGTGAAGTCTATTTGTTGTTCTATAAGTTTCTTGTACTTTGATAGGAATCAAAGGAATCCTTATGCTAAGGAGATTTTCTTCTATGATTTTTTTGAAAATATTTTCTGTGCCTTTGACCTGGGTGTTTTCTCCTTCCTCTATTCCTATTATTCTTTGATTTGGTCTTTTCATAGTGTACCAGATTTCCTTTCCAGATTTCCCCAGATGTTTGGGGTCAAGAGTTTCTTATAATTAACATTCTTTTTGATTGATCTACCTATTTCATCTATTGTGTCTTCAATGCCTAAGATTCTTTCTTCCATCCCTTGTATTCTGCTGGTGAGGCTTATTTCTGTTGTTCCTGTTTGAGTTCCTAAATTTTTCATTTCCAGATTTACCTGAGTTTGAGTTTTCTTTATTGACTGCATTTCTACTTAGATGGTTTATTCATTTTCTTCCACTGTTTGTTTGTGTTTTCATCAATTTCTTTAAGAAATTTATTCATCTCCTCTTTAAAGACCTCTACCATCTTCTTACAGGTGGTTTTAAGGTCTTATGCTTCAGCTATATTGGAATATTCAGCCTGCTGTGGTAGAGTTGCTGGGCTGTAGTGGAGACATATTATCCTGGCTGCTATTGATTGTGTTGTCACAGTGTTATCTACATGTCTTGGAATGGGAAGATTGTAATTCTATGTGCTGATATTTGCCCTTGTCTTTATTGGATAGATGTTTTGTTCCTTGGTTTTTGTTTCCTTTCAGGCTCTTAGAAGAGTGTGGTGAACTGTGCATTGTCTGGTAGGAAAATATTCTGGAGTCCTGATAGCTGTGGGCACTGGGGGTTCTGTGTAAAATGTGTTTCTGGGTATTAGAACCTGAGACTTAGAAATGGGGATGGGCTGGGCCTTGGGATGGAAGGGCTTCATAAGAGGGAGGAAAGCAAGGTGTTTCACCAGAATCTGCTTCTTTAATCTTCTTGGTGGCAAGATTGAGGAGAGACCACAGCAGTTTTTAGGATGATATGGAGCTGGGGATGAAACTGGGGGATTGGACTTGAAAGAATGGAGGGAGTGGTGAAGAGCTGTATGTAGCTTATCTGCTTCTGTGGGTTCTCATGGAGTACCTGCTAGGTTTGGGGTCTTGGACAAAGCAATGAGTTGGGGAAGCACGTAGAAGGGAGGGAAGATCTATAGGATCCACTGGAGATGGGAACAGCGGAGGAAAGGGAGGTTGCCACGTGTGTTCTGCTGCCTAACTGGGGATAGGACTAGAGGATTGGAGTTGGAGAAATGCAGGGAGAGGTGAAGATTTGCAGTTAGCCTACCTGCTTCCCTGGTAGGAGTGGCCTGTGGGTTCCCGTGGAGTGCCTATTGGAGTTGAGGCCTAGGATAATGCAATAAGAGGTTGAGAAGTTAAGAGGGGAACATCTGTGGAATCCGATAGAAATGGGATTGAATCTTCCACATGTTTTCTGCTGCAGAGCTGGGGATGAGATTGGAGAATTAGATCCAGAGGAGCAAAAGAAAATGTGAAGATCTGTCCCATTCCATGTTTTTAAAAAATATGCCCTGTGGTGATATATTGTGTTCTCTAAAATATTGTGTACCCTAATAAAGTTTATCTGAGGATCAGAGGGAAAAGCCAGCCACTATATTAAACAAAGAAGTCAGGCAATGGTAGCACATGTCTTTAACACCTTTAATCCCATCACTCGGGAGGCAGGAATCTGTCTGGATCTCTGTGAGTTCAAGGCCATACTGTGAACAAAGCCAGGCATGGTGGCACAAGACTTAAATTCCAACATTAGTTAACG